TCCACGCAATGCCCCGATCCGCGAATACCAAGGAGACACCATCGCAGCGGCGGCACACGAACTCCGCTGCTGCTCCTGACGCTGTGTTTCTCTGGGCTTGAACACCTGAATCATGTGAGATTGTAGTTGATGTTTTGTTACATCGGAGGACCGTGAGAGATGGTGGTGGCGGCTTTGGAAGGCCCACATCCAGCAGTGGATTGGTCATGCCGGATAATAGGCTAGGTTATGTGAAACGGTTGTGCTCATGCAGTAATAATTTACAGATGTTTTTTCAATCCACTGCTGGATCAAGGCCTCTCCAGCCCATGTCGGTCATGTGACCATACTTCACCATGCCTGCCGGTGTGGGTTGATTATGGTCCACATCTGGGTTTGCATTGCATCACAGAGCAATGCTATGCTTTTTTTCTACAGTACTGTACGAATGTTAAAGAGGACTGTGTTTAAAAATAGAATAATTAGGTTACTTATTACTGAACAGTAAATCATGACCTGTACAGTTAATGATTTCAACTTGGTCAAAAACAAACTCTTTAGATACTTGTTTGAATCAGCGCATTCTAAACACCACGTGGTGAGACATTAAAAGTTTTTGTTGTGAAACGCGTGCCAACCTTTGGCTAACGTTCTTGACAGCTGGTTATACAACTATTGGGGACCATCCATGTTTACTCGGCAGAGAATGTTCTCCAAATGATTGTAGCTGCACGGCACTCCTGAGTCACTGCAACGTCTGGGAACGTTCAAGCAGTAGTGTGACATAACACTGCAGCCGTGTAGGCGTTTTTCGAAAAATGGGCTTTATCTCGTAACAATCTAACCTTTGTGATCTATATAATTTAACGATGAGTTCAAGTCGACGAGCTTGTTTTTAAATGTGCAAGAACGCCGCTGTTTTAGGATGGATCTGCATTGTTGTGAATGCTCCGAAATATAGTTTCTGCAACTGGTGAAACCGGAATGTTTGGGAGCTTTGAGGAGGTATTTACGTCTTTATCTTTGGTGGGTTCTGACCCAATCACCCTTTTCATCGTTGGGACCTTTTTTGCCGGTATCAAAATGATGAAAAATATAGAGGCTTTAGCCTTTCACGCAATAATACAGGTGTTCATATTACCACAAGGATGTGTGGCTAATGCATACTTGATGCCTTGCAAATAGGTGTCTATTTGGTGTTCTTAACACCTCCTGTATTAATGCCAGAAAGGGTAAAGCCTATTCTTTTTCATCAATTACCTGTTGTTGAGACTATAAACTTTGATAGCCCTGAGCACCAACTTATACAGGGTGCTTCGAAAAATGTTTTCACATTTCTGAGAATTTGCAACAACACCGCAGGAAATGTGCCTCCGGGCTCTGGAGACCACCTGGAGAAGATTCCAGGCACGTGTCGACAACGATGGCGAGCAAGTGCAGACTGACTTTTTGAAGCTATTCACATCACATTTGTTATCATGTTACAGTGTAGTATTATACGTTCTTTTCCATTAAAAATGATAGTCCCATATAAGTTAACATTTCTTTTTTAAGCACCCTATGTATCTGCCATGGCTACTCAACCTGCGTCAAAATGTTAAAGTACCATGCCCTACTGCAGACCCTCCTCAAAAGACCAATCCCACAACTGGCAGACTAATGATTATTGTGAGGCCAGTGCTGCGTACACCTTGTGCCCCCCATCCAGCCCGCTAGACTCCAGCGGTGGCTTGTGGCTCGCCATCGAACAAAGACGGCCACCACATCGCATGGCGCTTTCACATGCGCTTCTGCGGCCGTCTGGAACGCTCTTCCTTCAGACATTAGGAATCCACTGGAGCTGCGCGCTTTTAAATCATCTCGATTGAACATTCATTTATGTACAACTGCTTTTTGTGCTTAATTTGTTGTCCTTCCCCCACACCTCTTATTTGCGCAGTTGGCTACGTACGGTGCGAAAGAAGTTAAACGTACATGCATACAGGGCATTGGAATGGTTGAGATGAGATGTGATGTAAGGTACTTTTATTGGCCGAGGTATTTTCGCACGATAGGAGTGTAAATCCTCACAAGCCCTAAGACTTGGCTTCATTAAGTGTGACAATTTCGTCAAAATATTGATGGCTTAGCGCAAGGATTATCTGTCAGGCGACAATGAATTAGACACGTTGCCGGAGGCATGGGAGGTTAACAAATGTTGGATCTGTGGCACTCTGCCTGACGCTAACAGAACAAAAAAAATTGCACTTCAGAGGACACAAACTCCCCAGGGGAGGAGGTGACCAATAGACTGAGTGCTAAAAACAGTACGGTACAGTAACACAGAATTCCTGCACCGACCCATGCTCATTGAGCAGGAAGTGACAGACTATTAACAGCACTTGCCCTGACAATCGATATGGCCGAACCCATGGGTCCGTCTATAGGATGCGATCTGAATTCCCTATATTTCGACAGGATATGATTATACATTTAATGTTCTTACTCGACTGATTGTATTGATGAATACACCATGAAAACCGAAAATTGTGGTTACAGTTAAACTCACTGATACTGATACAATTGTATGCGGCAGTGCTCGGGGTGGCTCATCATTTTCCGTGTTTATCCATGCATTTGACTTACTTTAACCATATGGTTATGTGCCGACAAACATGGACAATGATGAAAATACTGCCACTTCAAGGGCACTCCTCTTATCGGTGTGAAGGCTGGGTTATTAGCATTCATCCATTGCTCTCGGAACAAAATGTCCAGGTGCCAGGGAACTCTATGACATGATAGGACAATAGTCTGAGTCCAAAATTGCCAATAAGTAACGGGAAAGCAGTTATAAGTGACTTAAAAGTTGCGTATACAGGACACGACTTCACTGAAGGCATCAACACCTTCAGCGAGCGCGATGCCGATCACACAATGCGGTTCGAATTCAACCCTCGATCGATGGCTGCGCCATCGCTGCACACGCGTTGAATAAAAATCAAGGGACAAGTCCTTACTTACTAACAACTCCTCTGTCATTTTTCATTGCTGGAGGGGTTGCCCCCCCTCCCTGAAAATCCTGGCTCCGCCATTGAAGGGTATTAACCACTGTGCCAGCCCTCCCATATATCGATCTACGTGTTCAAATGTTATTTTGAGTGGGTACTGATGCATTATATTCATCCTCCATGCAGGCGACGACTGCCAACAACAGTTAAAGTGAAAGAGGAACTGGTAGTGGTGGCTGCGTTTGCAAAGAGCCCAGGAAAAAGTGTCCAAGAAGTGTGAAGCGATGCGCAGGTCATGACGGTGGATGGAGGGATCGCCAACACAGATGGTCAAGAAGACTCAGCTCCACCACGAAGTTCCCATCCTGCACTTATACAAATGCATCTGACCTATGGCATTTCTCATATATGCCAAGTCCTTTGAAGACAATGCCTATGTAGTGGTGATACGCGCTGACAGTAGGGATCGTGTGGCAGCGCGTGGTGATTGGTCAACTAAGGTGGGTGCTCACATCGCGGTCCGCATAGGCTCCGTCTCCTCGGAGCGGAGAGCTATATAAGGCGGTGCGCGCGGGCGCTCGGGGAGTGGGTGACCAGTGAAGACAGAAGACGGAGGAGGAAGAGATAGGGCCCTGAGACCCCTAGTCCCGCTGTCCTTGTAGGGACCGGGACCCTGTGTGGCTCGGAGGCGGGACCCTGGGACCCGGGGCCGGACGTCCGTGTGAGGGCCGGGCCGCGGGACCCAGAGGTCGTGACCCACGCCCAAGCTGGGGTGGGTCTGTAGGTTCCCCGGATGCTACGGGGCTGGAATGCCCGTGTGTGTGTAGCCGGGTGGAACGTGTAGCGTGAGCTGTAGTGACCACACGTGTCGGGTGGAAAGTGTAGCGTGAGCTGTAGTGACCACACGTGTCGGGTGGAACGTGTAGCGTGAGCTGTAGTGACCACACGTGTCGGGTGGAACGTGTAGCGTGAGCTGTAGTGACCACACGTGTCGGGTGGAACGTGTAGCGTGAGTAATAGTGACCCCACGTGTTATTGTGGCAAGACAAGTGCTAATAAAGTGTGCTACCCATCAAGTGGTTTCCCGCCGTCATTCAGAATGCTACACCTACATTAGGTTGTGTGTACATACGGACCACTATGCTGGCATATCAAACATTCAAAGCATCTGCTTGTTGAACTTCTTTTGCACCGTGCGTTGCCCACCGTGCTGAATCGTCCCATATCCGACGGTCACATGGCCACCCTAACAATTTAACCAGTATCTGTGCGTGGTGTGACGGTGTTCTTTTCTAAGGATGTTCACAAATCTGACCTCACGTATAGTAAGTAGTAACACTGTAGAGAGAGCCTTAAGCGCGTGTACATTCACTTACCTATAAAGCACAAGGCTGCCACGCGTTTTCCGAAGTTTAAAGTAGTTTGCACTTTATTCTTTTGTCCAGTAACTTAATTGTGTTGGTATATCCGACCTTATCCGCCTATACCCGAGTCGCCAGCGTGTTGGATGTGCGATGCTGTAGAATGTATCACGCACAGGTGTACAGAGCTGCATTGTGAATGCATTACTACGTACACACACATACATAACACGTGTTCATTTTACATTATCAAATGTGTTTTTTTTCATCTGCTCACAAAGTTCTCTCCTGGCTTAAGTAAAGGCGACAATCGATGTTTAACGCATTGCACATTTACCGCATACAATATTAATGTTCATACAAAGAGGGAAAACTTTTTTTACAGAGAGACGTGGCATGGAATCACCTTTACAACATATGTACATGGTGTGCCTTTTCAGATCATACCCAAGTATATTGAAAACACATTGCTTGGGGGTATACTTTTAAAAGCACACCCTGTAGTATTATTATATAAAGTGTTATACGGTACACACAACACAACACATTGGCTGGACACAAAAACACACAAGACAGCACGCACACCTGCTCACCGCAACTATGACTACCAAAGTTGTAAACGTTGTTTGGCCTTCGCGGCAGTTGCACGTGAATGTCCGCACAGGCTCACCTGCGGCGAGACCCGAGTGGATCCAGGTGATGTGCGGAGTCCGACTGCTGTCGGCACGCCGTGAGCATGGAGGCAGCAAGAAAACAACCTCGCACACAGAGACACTCGCAGGGCACTGGACGACTACGTTGTCGTTTTTTTAGAATGCTTCTTTTTTAAACACGAGAACACAAAAACGTGTTTTCCCTCCACCCCCCTTCTCCTTTCAAGCTGAGGGTGGGGGGAGGGTGCGAGAGGGCAGCGAATAAACTCGCAGGGTGACGCTGCTGCCTGGCTCACCTGCCCTGCCGCCCCCCTCCATCTGCAATGCCCCCCCCCCACACATCCCCACACCCCCACACCCCCCCCACACCCCACACCCCCCCACACACCCCCCACACACATCCCCACACACATCCCCACACACATCCCCACACACCACACACACCCCCCACACACCACACACACCCCCGTATAGCCTGAACAGACTGTAGGGGCAAGTGCTGTTAGCGAGCACCTATGAAGGCCGGAACGGTACACGAGGGGGTGGGTGCCAGCACCACGCCCGACCGCCTTTGTCTCCCTAGTGGCGATGTTTACACACCGCACCAGGTACTCATTTAAGGCTGAGTCGACCTAGGGGAGGCCCAGGACCGGTTCAGATAATCGTCACTGGTGTTAGCCGTGAGCAGGAATCGAACCCGGGTCGCCAGGTTCATAGCGCAGCGCGCTAACCGCTACACTACCGCTCCCCACACACCCCCCCACACACACACCCCCCCCATACCCCCCATACCCCCCACACACCTCCCACACACCCCCCACACCCCCCCCCACACACCCCCCACACACCCCCCACACACCCCCCACACACCCCCCACACACCCCCCACACCCCCCACACACCCCCCCATACCCCCCCCCACAAACCCCACATCCCCCCACCCTCACCCCCCCAGCAAGGCGAACTGAACCACACCCTGGCTACGACACCCACAGGTGCTACCGCATACCTGTCCAGGCAGCCACCACACACACACACTTCACGCACGCAGACTGCATGGCCTTTCCCGTCATACGAAAGAACGCGTCGTGTCTTTCTCAGAACGCATAATTTCATAACCCACTCACTGCGAATTGTTATATATTGACCCACTTCTGGAAATTGTAACTAGAAAAGTAACGCCACCTCTCTGGTGGTACTAACGAGTGCAATATCTGCTCTGGGCTCATGGATCACGCAGGAACATGCCTCTTATCCATTTTTTTATTTTTATTTTACCAGGTAAGGCTCCGCTGAGCTATGTAGCTCTTTTTCAGAAGCGACGTGGCCATCTAGGATTGCTCGACGACGAGGTGGCCTGTCACGTGGACATCGACAGCAGACAAATAGTCTAAATGCGGTGGGGAAATGCGGGGGACCCAGAGAAAAATCTACGCGACCACGGGGAGAACTTGCAACTCAAGAGCCAGGGTCGGGATCGAACCCACGCACTCCTATGTGCCAGGCGAGAGAGATCAGATATCGCTACCCGGACGATATGGATGACCCATATCGCAGATCATAATATCCGTAGGTGTATCTGCGAATATATTCCACTTATCCGTGGAGGGGAAATAATAACGGATAATAGGAAGAATAGGTCCGTGACTTCGCGATAGTGTAGACCATACAGCTCCCGCAGGTAATATGAATCACAGGTAATGGGCTAATGGATGAGTTATTCTGTATTGCAGTACATGTGCTTCCAGTGTGGAAAAAAGCCAAACAGTTTTACTTGATGTCACGTCTAGATTGAGCTGGTTGGCACTGACAGAGCAGGTTGACTCACAAACCTAAGGTCGTATGAGTTAAAATCTCAGTCGTAACAAAAGTCTAACTCGTATGACTCAGGACATTATTTGATTTGTATCGTTCAGTGCTATTCAATGGTATCATGTTCATTTCACAGGACATAATCAACGAAGCGTGTTTCCATTGACTGCTCTGTTGTATACTGCAATAAATACATGTTAATTTACGCATCCACTTAGACTATCGTCCCGAGAAGGGTGCTATCATGGGTACCATGTTGAGCGTTGACAGTTGTGGTTGTTCTGTGGTGTGACTGGATTGTTTAAATCTTCACACTGGCCCAGGGCCAGTAAGAGAGACGAGCATCACCATGTTTGATCATGCAGATCATATTCAATTTATAAAAGTATATTTACATATTCGTATGATTTTACTTAAAGTAATGGAAGATTGGTGCGCTTCATACATAACTGTTTGGGATGATTTTCACTAAATTGTTTCCATTCAATTTACAATATGCCGTTATTTTTTCTTAATATTCTGTAACGCTCGTGGTTTTACATTTTGTTTTATTTTACAGCCTAATGGCTATTTTAGTACAATATCTATGTCAACGTTTTACTATGTATTACTCAATAAATGTGTTACAAACTACACCTAATCCTGAAAGTGAGCATTTCTACTGGAATTCAGAACAAATAATATGAGTATAATATTCTTCACATCGCTGCCTCACGCTGCCAGTTATTGGCCAGCTTTTGAGACAGTAAATTTGCGAACATTTATTGCAAGCAACTATGCGTATTTTCTTCAACTCCTGCTTTCCATAAATGTTGATGCCATTATAGTTTCCCCCCCAAATTCAAGTTTAAAAAATATAAAATCCACAAAAAAAGCAGAGGTTGTTACATTTGTTGTGGAGATAAACAGCGCCGATTAGCAAATGCAGCCTTCAGTTTAAATGAAGCATTTCAATCACGACAGCTAAGAGCCATAAGAGAAAACACCAAACGTTATAACTTTCACCACCGCTCCATGCCCCCCTTTGATGTGGAATGTTAATTTACCTTCAGAATATATTGCAGGATTTTCCCACAAGTGGAAGGGTGGAGATGCCAAATCTTAAAATAAATCTCATCGCTTTACGCAAGGCGCCCGATGAAGTGAGGATTTCCACAGGTCAAGAGGACACAAAAGAGAAAAGCCAGACATTCACATCCACTCTCTGGTAGAGTTTACGCGTAAACCCAGACCTGTGGAATGTGGAAAACCCCACGATATTCACCCTGCTAGAACCACTGAAATTTATTGTATTTGTATTATTACACAGATTACCCAGAAAAGCGTCACTGAGTCTGAAGCCTCACCCACCAAACGTTTTCGCAGTAAGGGGTGATGTTGCTGCTGCTATGTGTAATCCAAAATCAGTAGTTTGTAGGAAATGTTTCAGCACTGGGATGTTTGCCCAATACCAGTTACATTGTACGTGCGATTTTAGCTGTGGGAAGAAACCGAATAACCCAGAGGACACCCATGCAGAATAGAGGGAGAACATACAAACCCCACGCCGGAGGGCACCTGAGGCACTAATGATGGCACTGTGCCACCCGGTCGCCAATATTATTTTGCTAATTCATTTTCTAGGTCTGCAAAATGGCAGCGTGTAATGCATTGAGTAATTCCATAAAGTTATATAATTTTAACAAAAAATGCGGAAACAAATGGGGAACTAAGCTAAATTATCTCTGTGGCGCACCGCCCATCTCCATTGGCAGCCTTGAGTTAGAATGTCCAAATATCCACAGTGCAGTACAGTCCATCATCATCATGAGAACACGCCGTACTCTATCCACTGCTGGATGAGGGCTACCCCAAGCCGCCACCACCACCATTTATTGATATCTTGCAATACAACAATCCACATGAGTTCCTACACACGAGCTGATTTCATTACTTCATATCCACGGTGGAATTCCTCTTTGTCGATCCCCAGCCCCTTCTCGTCACGTGCATTGCCAAAGCCTACGCACTACCATTTACAGTCGACATGATGACTCGAACCTGCGTACTTTTTCTTCAAACGCTCTCCGATAAATATAACGTTTTGCATGACAAAGCAACGCATCTGTAAGCGATACGCGTTGGGACCATTCCGTGAAGTGTCTGTTGCGTAGCTACATTATTCTGCTTTAATTCACTTCACTGAGCATGTGTGTTGTTGTCTGTGACTCCGCAGAGAGGTAGATACGCACTTTAATGAGCGAATTGCCCTTTGAACCCGACACCCTGAATTCGGATCCCGACTGCGGCTCACATCAGTGGTGACTTGTTAGTGATAGCTGAAGCAGTCCTCAGCCCCGCACACTTCACTAACGTGCACTGACTAATGCGATGAAAGATGGTAAACCAACCCCAATGGCCAAACAAGGCACATGGAGATCTATAATGACAGAAGGCTGAAATATATTGACTTAGTTATGTCAGTCTAAAGTTCACAACCATACATATTGTGCCGTGGAGATGTCACGATGTACCGATTCATCCATGAATATCGATTCTTAAGCTTATAACATATGCACCAATTGACTTCAGAAATAATCAAGTTGCATTTCAGGTTTCTAAAGATCAGAATGCATACGTCCTGTTTGCTTCTCAGTTAGGGAGTTAGTGGGTGTTGTTTCACATACAAGCCAAAGTCAAGTCCCCTTCCTCAAACGCGCTCGCTCAGCTTTATTATTGCACCCTTAGCTATTGGTTAACATTCCACATTCTTAAGGGCAGAGGTCAATACCCCTGAAAAAGTTGTGTTTATTTTATGAACTCAACCCCCAACTTGAATTTGAGCACTGGCAACAAGTACACTCTCTTCGCAGAGTATTTCGATACATACATACATCGGCGTTGACCAATTCACCTCATCTCGTCACTTATCGGAACACATTCAGGGTTGATCCCAGATAGTGTTTGGATGGGTGACCACTATGCAGTAGTTGTGTGTTTGGGTGATTTGTTTACCTTTCTTGTACTTTTCACAACTATCGTTTTTGTTGTAACGTTCCAGCCGGCCCTTACTCGACATCTGTGAAAAAGAGCTTCATAGCTCATCGGATTCCTCCAGTATAAATACATATTCTGTTATTCTGATTCTGTTATAAGCAGCGGGCTTTCATGGAGGGCAGCCGATGGCAATTCAGTAACAACTGCTAAGGTCTCTCCGGTCTATGGCTCCCGCCTTCACCCAACACGCGCTGACAAGCACGGTGAAGGATAATCGAACAACCCCCATGAGCTGCTAATTTAATCAATCCAGCAGTGGATTGGTTAAAGTGCAGTACATGTACATATCTGCAGGTGTGGGCTCACTGATAAGTCAAGGACAAACATGACATGAAATCTTTAGAGGACAAGAAAACCC